CTAGAATTAAAATTCATTAGAAAGGTAGATAAACAATAATTAAATATGAGAAAATTTATTGTCGAGAAATAAGAAAATAAACACTTTTAAAAAGTTTTTAACAAACGTCTAACCCAATAGTTTAAAGCAATAGTTTTTGAAAAACTGCAATTTTTTGTTTTCGCAGATTTGCATTTTTTAATAGAAATAGTTTTAATTCATCATTCCTAAAAATAAAAACTTTTAAAAGTGAACTAAAAACCATAAAACTAACTTTAGGGTAATATATACAAATATCAACGTCGCTGAGCTAAAACATTTTTTATTTAATCCAACTTTTTATTTAGTATGATTTGCCCAACAGAAACTTGGTGTTTCGACGAATTATTCAGAACTAATTTAAACTTTAAAATTCCTAATAAAAATTTTCTTAAAGAAAAAACAAGAAAAAAAGGAGAGTGTGAAATTATAACGTATTCTGAATGATCAAGTAACAAAAATTAGAAACGACCTTTTGATCTCCAATGCTGATAGTGAGATTTTACAATCGAAACAACAAGCAATTCTTAAACTTGATAAACTTTTTCTATTTTAAAAGAAAAGAGTCTTATCTCGTCAAAAGCTTCACAGAAAAAGAAAAAAAAAACTCGATTACTCAAATTGTCTTGATAACTCAAATTGTCATAAATAGTAAAGAGTAGTACAACAAAAAGAAAAATGAAGGGGCGGATCAAGACAAGTGTCGGAGGCAAGATTTTTTGATCTTTCAGATTTGACACTTTCAAGTATTGTAAAAATCCCAAGTTTACGTTGGTTCATGCTTATGCCAAATGAAAATGTTTTTCAAAAAATTACGGTGATTTGAGCCTGGTAACAAAAATACTCAAAATGGTTTGCTGCCCCGATCCCATATGTAAGGTTAATGAATTGATTAAATATTAGCAGCTGTGGCACAACAATTAAAGTTATAGCTCTAAACTAAATGGTTCGAGTTTCGATACCTGGTCTGGCTAGAAACACTGAACCAAATGGTACTAGGTTCAATGGTCTGGCCAGATAAGCAACACTGTTAAGGAAGGAGAAAATTTATTATAAGATAGTAAATTTTGATTTAGCATTTTGTCATAAACTTAAATTCATAAACAGGTTTTAAATTTCATCTAATAATCTTTTACGGTATAAAAGCTATAGCTTTGTAAAATTTTCTCTTTATTTCGGGGAGGGTGGAAAATTATACGTCATAACTTTTGAAAACTAAAAGATTATTTGATGAAAATAAAAACCTGTATTTTTATTCCCAGGTTCCAATCACTGAAACTTTTTGCAAAAGATTCTTATTTAACATGCTAAAGTCTGAAGTTTTTACAATTTATAAATATATCATATATATATATATATATATATATATATATATATATATATATATATATATATATATATATATATATATCATAAAAAGTTTCTGCGTCCATCTCTGCAACCAAACATGCAATCTTAAATCTAGAAAATAACATAACTGATTTTTTAAAAAGCGTTTAGTTCTAGGAACTTTTAGTAGACCTATCCAAAGCGCTTGACACTGTTAATTATAATATTTTACAAAAAAAAGAAAATATATATGGGATGAAAATTGTAACCCTTAATTGGCTTAAAAGTTACCTATGTAATAAATAGCAACGCGTAATATCAAATAATTAAAAGTATTAAAATTCTATTACAAATAAAATGCAAGGTTCCATTTTGGTTGCCATGCATTTTTAATTTATGATTAATAATTTTAAAACTTTAAACAAACTTGGTGTAATAATGTTTACTGGCGGCATAAATTTACTTTATTCACCACCATCAATGAAAAACCTTTATGAATCTATGAAAACTGGCCTTGAAAACTTAAACATTAAGTTTAAATCAAATAAGTTAATTTTTTTTTTTAAAAAAAAGCGAAATTTCTTGAAATAAGTATTGACAAGGAAATTTTTTGGACGGCCCATATAAAATTAATAAATACCAAAATATCAATTAGTATTGGTTTACTCTACAAAACTTTTCCCAAGAAAATCGTAACATTCTTAGTGTAAATATACAATAATATTGCATGGAGTAAATATACTTAGTGTAAATATACGGTAATATTGAAATACACATAAAGTTAAATTCTCTCTCTCTCTCTCTCTCTCTCTCTATATATATATATATATATATATATATATATATATATATATATATATATATATATATATATATATATATACATATATTATATATGTGTGTGTATATATATATATATATATATATATATATATATATATATATATATATATATATATATATGTATATATATGTATATATATATATATATATATATATATATATATATATATATATATATATATATATATATATATATATATATATATATATATGTATATATATATATATATATATATATATATATATATATATATATATATATATATATATATATATTATATATATATATATATATATATATATATATATATATATATATATATATTATATATATATATGTATATATATATATATATATATATATATATATATATATATATATTTATATATATATATATATATATATATATATATATATATATATATATATATATATATATATATATATATTATATATATATATGTATATATATATATATATATATATATATATATATATATATATATATATATATATATATATATATATATATATATATATATATATATATATATATTTATATATATATAAACAATTGCATTATGCATTTAAAATAATATTCACTTGTGCATTTAAATAGTGCAGCAGCAACCACAGGGTTAGTAAAGACATGTAGGGTCGGACTGGCACTTATGGGCCCTGGGGGAGACATAGATAGGGTATAAACATATTGAGATTTTAAAAATAATTATAAATTGCAGCGTCGCATCACTTTATTTTCTGCACATTATTGCCACGTTAAAATGTATTTATGTTTATGGTAACCAAATACGATTTGTATTTTATTGTTTAAAGAACAGTGTTAAACAAAGAACATATAGTGCTAATGGCACTTAATTTTATTGTTTAAAGAACATAGTCATTAGTACAAAATGTACTAATGGCTATGTTCTTTAAACAATAGCACTTAATTTTATTGTTTAAAAAACATAGCCATTAGTACATTTTGTACTAATGGCTATGTTCGTTAAACAATAAAATTAAGTGCCATTAGCACTTAATTTTATTGTTTAAAGAACATAGCCATTAGTACAAAACTTTATTGTTTATAGAACATAGCCATTAGCACAAAATTTTATTGTTTAAAGAATATAGCCATTGTTTAAAGAACATAGCTATTGTTTAAAGAACAAAGCCATTAGCACATAATTTTATTGTTTAAAGAACAAAGCCATTAGCACATAGTTTTATTGTTTAAAGAATATAGCCATTAGCACAAAATTAAAAATCAACGATTTTTTTTTTAGTTTTATAATATGTTATACATTTTATTTTATTATTATATAAATTTTTTTAAAACGTTTCAAAAAAATTTGATAGTTTACTCTACTACTGATAATATAAGGTTTTACAATGTCTTTGTATATTTTATTAAACATTTCATATTTTATACGTAGAAATAACCATATTTATTGTCCTTGCAAAATTGATGCATATTAACAATAATTAGTTGTTATTAATTTGATTTTTAGTGAGGCCCAGGACCTTTAGACAGCGGAGGCTCGGGGGATTTCCCCAACCTTTCCGGCCAATCTAATCCTGGGGACAAACATCTCCATGTTGCCAAAAAAAATAAGAATAACTAATAAACAAATTTAGTTTTATGTCTTATAAATTTGATTTGGCTGGAATCTAAAAATCATAATTAGGTCAGTGCGTTTAAAACAACTAAATAGTTTTAGTCAACAGCTTTAAAAATCCCCTTACATAAGTAAAGTTTAATGTTATAGGTTTTTTGTACCTCTAAACATTGTTTTACTCGGCTAGTTTTAGTTACACTAAAAAAAGTAGTAAACCAATATTAACAATTATAAAGTTAGTTGACTAATTTAATTTAGAATAGAAAATTAGTCGACAAATCTTTTAGTTCGCTAAAATTTAATTACACTATGATAATTTTACTTATATGCTAGTAGATTTACTTAGTAGATTAAATAGTCGGTCTACTAATGTTAATTAAATTAAAATTAATCTTCACTCCCACACTAATTTTGTTTTTTAAGTTATAACTACAGATACAATGTTTTTTATGTTGTTTTCTTTAGATAAAGCTTACTAAAGATAAAGTAAAAAGCAATATTTATTGATAATAATTACAAAAAAATCAAATAAAAAAACATTTCACTTGATAAAGATTACGACTGATCAAACAATTATTCAATTCTATAGAATAAAAAGTTATAAAACAAAGATTAATATTCGATCAATATTCGATTAATACTTCGCAATTCGGTTAACACATGAATAAGATTAACGTATTGCATCAAAATTGACGCCACAAGGCGGCGAGGCGTGCGCATTTTATAAGGTTTTTTAAATCTTTGGTATAGTCAAGGTTTAAAAAAGCGCACGCCTCGTTGTCTTTGGTTATAACTACTCTATCTCAAACTCATTATCAGTTAAATGTAGAAAAACTTTTTTAATAAGCTCTTATCTATTTTTGAATATATATCAATAGCATAGCAAAAATTAGTTAAGCATAATAATGTAATAGGTAACTGGTCGATTAGTTTTTCAGGAGATAGAGCTTACAAAATATTCTAGGGAATTTGTATATCTTACAGCAAACTGAATTTAATAGTAACTTATTAATATCAAGATCAGTTAACTACATATTATTTAAAGTTAGATTAAATCTAGTTAGTTAATTACATATTATTTAAAGTTAGATTATATCTAGCCGAGGTCTGCCCGGTTAATTAAACCTGGTTTTAAAATGTAAATCTTAATATAGAAAAAAAAAAAAAAAAATAGATTTTGTTATTTGCCCGCGTGTTTAATCACCTTCACGCGTGAAATCTTCCACGACAACAAATCAGTAGCTGACATTAGGAACAACCGTTGTGTAGATAGGTTTCTGTTATATTTAAACTGCATTGTGTTTTTGTAGTTTCATTAAATTTATTTTAAATAAACAATGGAGAAAAGAAATTTAAACCTTTTTTTAAGTCTTTTTATAGTAAGTTGTGTTTTTTAATTTAGTTACTCATTTATCATTTATCATTTTGTGATTACTGCCTTGTTGTTTGCACAAATATAAAAATTAATCAAAAACAATATTATTTTTCATTTTATCTATTATCACTTATTAATTTTACATTAAATATATATATTTTTCTCTTTTTATATGAAGTATATTAACTCGAAAACCAAAGATGAGATCTAGAATTCCTTACATTCTTTAATAATTAATGAATTTTTATCCTCATCTACAGGTAGTATTGCAAATTGATACCATTTTGACTGATGCCTTACAGTTAACGCAAGATAACTATCAGGATGTTTTATGTAGGTTATCTTTTGAATTATATAATTACCATATTAATAAAAAAAAACATTATCTTGATGTGTGTATGTACATACAACTTATGTATGTATGTATGTATGTATGTATGTATGTATGTATGTATGTATGTATGTATGTATGTATGTATGTATGTATGTATGATGTATGTATGTATGTATGTATGTATGAATGTATGTATATAATTTTCTATTTTGATTATTTATTTAAATTAAGACTCTGCGAGGGAAAACTTTTGATTTTTCTTTGTTTTGTTTATTGTGAAATTTTGCGTTACATAATTTATGGAAGATCACTAAACTGATAGCCAGCATACTTTCTATTTTTATGGAACAGTGATGGCATATTGTGTGTAGGCACATTACAAACAGGCATGTCTTATTAATGCCCTAATATCAGTTGAGTAGACTTTGACATATATGGTATTCTGCTTATTGTGCTCCTTTAAAATCAGCAATTCATTTGAAAAATTTGAACAACAAAAATTACAGCATTTCCATCAGAAATTTGATTGTGCAAAATAGTATCTTGATAAAAAGGCTGTCTTTGACAATGCTAGGTGCTTTTTCAGTTGAAGATTCTTGTTTTTAAAATTTTTTAGCTGTAAGTTAAAACTCTGTTCTTTCAATTTATTTTGAAGTTGCTAGTTTGTCTTGTATTTGCAAGCAATTCCTTGTTTTAGATGTTTAAACCTTTTGGCCTTGGCTTTACCTTTTCTCTTAATTCTACTAAATGAAATAAGAAAAAAAATACTAAGGATAAACCATGTTGGATAGTTTATGTTCCAACATGGTTGATCTTCACTTGGTTAGCTCTCAATCTAGACAGTAGTTGATGTGAATCTGCAGATGTTTAAATAAATTGAATAACAAAGAAAAGGGAATAAAAAAGCACATGTGTCAGCAAAAACTTTTGTCTCAATAATGTTTACTTCAATAATTCTTATTTCAAGTATTATTATAGTCCAGGAAACTGAATTAAAAAATATTTGAAATATTCCATGTTCCTTAAAATGTTTATATATATATATTGATTCTGTTTGCTAAACATCTGATGTAATCTTTAGATGTTGTCAATAACAGTTCTTAAAAAACTATTAAGAGCTATTGAAAAACAAAGTAAATATAATATATACATATTTATTTTTCTATACAGTTTATTGAATAAATTATTACAATTATTATAATAAATTTAATTAAGCATAATATCAGGTCTCAGCAGGAAGCGAGAGCTTTATTTCTCGCTCTTGCCCATGTTTAGAAATATTATTAAAAAAATATATAAAACATAGCCTCGTGGCTGAAGCTGAAAACTATTAAGAATGATATACAGCACATAAATACGGTGCCAATATAATTACATATTAAAGATGGTGTCATAAAAACTCAACACCCCAACTTGACAACATATTATATTAAAGTCCAAATAAAAATTCCTTAAACTTTTGTTTAACTTGGTTATCATTTCTAAGGGTTACTGTTTTGAAATTTATTTCTAATAATTCTCCTAATAGTTTTGTTAAATAACTAAATTCTTGGCAAGCTGCTGATATCGACATATATTCTGCTTCGCAGGTGGACAGTGCAACACTTGATTGTTTCTTTGATTTCCAACTTATGACTGGTCCATTTTTACACAAAGAAAAACAGTAACCTGATATACTATGTCGATCTAGGAAAGATGAAGCCCAATCTGCATCAAAGAAAGCATAAAGCTTTAACTCATCAGCCTTTTTAAAAGTTAAACAGTAGTTTAAAGTATGTTTAATATAACGAAATACATGTTTAATCATAATCCAATCACCACAATTTGGTTTTGATAGATGTTGAGATAATCTTGTAACAACATAGCTCAAATCTGGTCTCGTACATGACATTGCGTAAAGAAGACTTCCAACCATTTGTTGATATAGCTTTATTTCTGAATCATTCGATTTTATCGATTCTTGATTATGGTATGAATTGGGAATTTGCTCACATGGGGTTGATCTTGGTTTGCAATTGTCAAAACCAAATTTTTGTAGCATATCATACGCCATTAAATACAATAGTAAAAAAACTTCTTTTAGTTTATAAAAAGCCCAACAAATGATGAACTTGCTTAAATTTTAGTAATTTTTTGTTACTTTTTATCAAATAAAAATCAGAAAAATATATTTCTGATAGTTATTATCAAATACACTCATTGTGTAAAAAATTTCGGAAAATGTTGTTAAAGGGGGGATTAGCTGTTAAATGAACACATTTTTAAATCTAGAAGTTCTTGTTTTAGAAAATAATTCACTAAGTTTATAAATTCAATGCATTATAAAATAAAACCAGATTTCAAGTTTGAAATATTTAGTCTTAACATTTTAAGCTAAAGCCTTTAAAAAACTTGAGCAATTCTTTCCTATGCATACAATTTAATAATATGGTGTTAGGTTGTTAGTAAATAAAGGCTCTAATAAAATTAATAAATAAAGACTCTAATAAAATAATTCATGACCAAACCTGAGTTAAAGTTTTTGAATTAACCTTTTGGTAATAGAATTATTTTATGGCACTTGAATCAATCTTTTTTCACAAAAAATTAACGTTTCTTTAAATATACAAATAGCTAATTTAAATTGTTTGATAATATGTTTTTATTCTCATAAAAAACTTTGATTGATCCATTAATAAGTTGGTCCATTAATAAGTTCTTTAAGTAGAAAACGATCTTTGAACACCCAGTTGATAATAGATTTATGCACCATTCTAAAGAAAAAACCGCCTAATTTTTTACTTTAATTTTATACTTCAAAATTTGTCTCTCTAAGAAAGTTGTTTTCATAAAATTTATTACATATTTGCTTGGGACGTACAAAATTTAAGGTCACATGATTGTTTTAAATGTAAACAATGTTTTGCACATTGAACTAGAAAAAATTGTTTCTAAACTAGCCAAGTTTGAAAACATATTTCATAACATAGCTAAAGGTGCAGCAAACAATTATTTGATTTTTATATGCAGAAAGGGTTGAAATTTCAATAATTTGGTGTGGATTACAAAAATAGTACCATTTTTATAATTTAATTATAAAGTTAAAAATATAAATGCATTAAAAAATAGTTAAAAAATAAAAATCAGCAATCCGCACCAAAAATTAGATAGAATAGACATTTATTTATAAATGTTCAAAATTTCAACTATGAGGCATGTAGCTATGTTATGAAATCTTAGTTGACCCAAGACAAATTGTATTTTCTTGAGAAATTTACTTAAAACATTCTGCCAATTTCTACCACTTTGTTTTAAACCATAAAGTGATTTATTTAATTTCCATACTAATTGTTTATTGTTGTGGGTATTTTTATAACCAGGAGGTTGGTTTACATAAATTTCATGTTCTATGGGTGCATATAGATAAGCACTTTAAACATCCATTTGATGTAAAATGAGGTCATATTGGATAGAGAGTTACATTAAAATTTAGACTGATTCCATCCTAGCTGTAGGTGAAGAAGTTTCTAAATAATCAATCCCTTGAATTTGCTTGTAGCTCTTTGCAACATATCTAGCTTTGTATATAATTTTATTATTGTTCCCTTTAATTGTGTAGATCCATCTTCCCCCAACTACTTTTTTATTTGCTGGGAGTTCAGTAACAATAAAAGTATCTTTATTCGTCAATGATTGGATTTCTTCATCCATGGCACTTTTCCATTTATCAGACTCATCGGTGTTGATAGCATTATTGTATGATGTAGATATATTCATCAAATAACAATAATCTATATAGTTAATTACATCGTCATTATCATTATCAACTATATAATATTACAGATATTTTGGGGTTTGTCTTTAAGGGTAACGTGATGAGGAAATTTCTCGAGGTATATTTTGTTTATTATTAGGAGCGGATGGCTTAGGTGTAGGCTCTGTAGCTTTTGGTTCAACATTTATAAAATCATCTGTATTGTAGGTATCTATTTGGTTAACAGATTCATATTTTTCTGTAAATTTTACAAGTCTGTGATAATAAACTAGTCTTGATAATAAACTAGGTATGATGGGCTGTCTTTATTGTATCCAACAAAATAACCTTTAATGCTTTGTGGTTGTAACTTTTTGGTATTATGTACATATGGGTAACATACTGATCCAAATAAGTGTAATCTTGAAATGTTTGGCTTTAAACCAGTTACTAATCCGTATGGTGTACTTTTAATTTGTTGCACATAGCATCAATTTTTTATATATGTTGCAGTGCTAATTGCATAAGTCCATAAATGTTTTGGGAGCTTAGATTTGATAATCATGGCTCTTGCCATGTCAAATAGTGAACGCCAATTCCTTTCTGCGGTTCCATTTTGATGTGGGGAATAAGGTGATGTAGAATTTGAATGCAGTTCTTTGAATTCTTTTGATAAATATTCACCTCCATTATCACTGCAAATACATTGTGCATTACCAGATGGAGAAATATCATTATAAAATCTAAATGTTTTAACCTTTCCATATGGAGCAATATCTGCTAGAAATTTTTCAGCAACTTTCGCAGTATCACTTTTTTATTGTAGAAAATATGTAAACAAACAACTTGAGTAATCATCAACAAAGTTTATAACATACTTAAATCCTCCTATAGCTACAGGTTCTATAGGTCCAGCTAAATTACTATTACAATATCCCATTATTTTGTGCCACATTTCTTAACTTTCAGTTCTTGTTTCATTTATCTAATTTTTATACAAATAATACAAACGACCATATTGTCGGATAGGAAACACAGTTCCCTCTTTAGATATAAGTTCAGCACTATATTTATAAAAGTTTACACTGGCACCTTTAGCCGTAGCTGCTTGAACTGAAAAAATGCACTGTGGGTAAGGTGGTATGTATAAAGTGTTTTCAAGAGTGACAAGTGCAAGTTCATTGTTCTTTGTTCGTAAAAGGGTTACAACTATTCCTCTCATTTTAGCTATATTATTTGTCATCAGCTAATTCTATAAAATGTTCATCAGGTTTAAATTATTTATCAATATAAGTGAAATGTTCATCAGTATTTACAATATGTGTGGTTGCTCCACAGTCTACCAGAAATGTTTTGTTTTGCGTTTTCTTATATCGTTCTTCGTTTATTTTAAATGCATACATGTGTTTTTGCATATTACTAACAGCTTTAGATTTATTCTTTATTTGTTTCCTGCAAGAACTGTCTTTGTGGGTATATTCTACAATTATTACACCATATCTTTGGTTTGGTTTTTGCTTGACATTCAGAAGACTTGTGACCAAAAGTTCCACAAGTATAACAAGTCAAAACTTTCTTTATATTACCCCCACTAGTTTTAAATTTCATTATTTTGGTATCTGAATGTTCATTATGAGTTGTTCTTGTGCATTCTGTTTCTTCAAAACTTCATAAAGTTTGCTTAAATTTTTGAAAATTATTACTAGTTTCAGATTGGGTAATTATAGCTACAAAAGCTCTATATTCGTCAGGTAATCCTTCAAATACCATAGCAATAAGTAATGAATTGCTTATATTTTCGCCAGCTGTATTTAATTAAGTGGCTGATTTCTCTGCTTTAATAACATAATCTGTTATAGACTCGTTGGTAATTTTTTTTTAAATTGTTAATTGATTGTATAAGGTAATTATACAAGGTTTACTAGTACTAGCGTAATGATCCTTTAGAATTTTAAGGCTTCCCTACCTTTATCTTTAGTGTCTCTTATAATTAAAGCTATAGATCTTTCATCAAAAAATTGTAGTTCAGCAAACGCTATTTCATTTTCGTCTTCATCAATTTCACCATTTCCAATTAAAGTATCTTTTAAATTTTTTACTTTCATGTATCCAAGGAATTTCGTTTCCCATATTTCAAATTTTCTACTATCTCCATCAAAAATAAGGTTTTGCCACTGGTTGCTGGGTCCATATCCTGTTAATGTTTTATATTTATTCATGATGGAGAAAATAAATAATGATATAAATGTTTAGAAATATTATTAAAAGTATACATAAAACATAGCCTCGTGGCTGAAGCTGAAAACTATTAAGAATGATATACGGCACATAAATACGGTGCCAATATAATTACATATTAAAGATGATGTCATAAAAACTCAACATATATAGGCCTCAGCGGAAGTAAATAAGAGCTAGAGCGGAGAAGAGCTCTCCTAAAACAAACATGGCAAGCCATGCGAGTTGCTCCTCTAAACTGCTTTTTATGAGAGCTTTTGGGTTTTGCTCAAGCTATCTGTTTATTTATATAAAAATTGCTTATTAAATACAAAATTTGGTTTTATACTTTTTATAAGCATATGTTTGTGACATTAATTTTACAATAATATCCACATAAAAAGCGTCATTTATTACCCCGTGAAAAAAATTCTTTAGCTGAAAATTTAATTTTTAGCAAAAATTGTGCCTGTTAATTATTCAATTAATTAAATTTTCTTGACTTAGGTTTTTCATTTTAGTTACAATGATAATTATACTTTTGAGAGAAAAAAAATACTTTAGCGAGAACTGTAAATTGCTTCTGTAAACTGTTTTATGTATGTATGTATGTATGTATGTATGTATGTATGTATGTATGTATGTATGTATGTATGTATGTATGTATGTATGTATGTATGTATGTATAGAAGGGTGCTCATGTAATAAAATAGCAATACAAATGTATGTATATGTATGTTTATATACACATGTATAAATTAACAAAGAAAAAACAACTTTTTCTATGGTACTTTAACCTTCATGCCTATACAGCAATCATCAGCCATTGAATAACTGAAAAAATATATATATAATAATATATATAAATGTAAATTAACAAAATAGTTAAATGTAAAACGAACATAAAAAAGTAACTAAAATTAAATTTGATAAAAAGATTTTTCTTTTTATCAAATTTTAACTTGTTTAGAAATTTCAAAAGTTAAAAAAAAAATTGTAAAACAGTGCGTTGAAAATTAAAAAAAAAATTTAATAAAATAAATCAAAATTTATTATTTAATAAATTTAAAAAAAATTTTAAAAATGGAAAGTAAACAAAATTTTATTCAACTATCTGTTTTTTATTTTTAAAAAATGTCTCAATTTTTATAACAATTAATTACTGCTCAATGTTTTTCTGCATAAATTATTTTAAAAGTTTAAATGATCTGATTTTAAATGTTTTGGCATAACATAATGTAAATGCGTAGGTAATGCGTAGGTAAAATAACCATTTTGTATGTAAAATTCAAATGGCCTAATGCTTCTTATGAAGACTTTAGCAATTTCTTAACAAATATGTATATATATGTGTATATATGTAATGTATGTATGTATATATGTATGTATGTATGCATGTATGTATGTATGTATGTATGTATGTATGTATGTATGTATGTATGTATGTATGTATGTATGTGTATTATTCTTCATTTTGATTATTTTTATTTTTTAATTTTATAGCAAAAAATAAACTTGTTTTCATAAATTTCTATGCCGATTGGTAAGTTTTACTTGATATATTAAATTTTTTAGTATATTTTACTTTGTTTTAATGATTATTTTTTTTTAGATGTTTATTATTTCAGTTAAATGTATTGTGTTATATGTAGATTTAATTGAGATAATCTATATCTATTTATCGTGTCAATATATACAGATTTTTAAAATAAAATAGGCACAGTAAAATATTTTACAATATTTTAAATTGATTTTTGTTATATTTTTGTCTCAACCCAACTGTTTTTCATAATTATTTTATTAATTTATATGTTAGTTTGATAATAACCTTTATAAAGTTGCATAAATTCGCTCATGCTGGCTATTGCTATTTTTAAAAAAATCTAAAAGTTAGTATACACGAAGATGGGTTGAAAAGCAGTAAGCCCAATTTCCTATTTCTTATTTTTTAAAAAGTAAGAAAAGTACTTAGCAACTTTATAACAAGTTCAAATAGAGTTCAAATAGAATCAAAAGAGTTCAAATATACATGTTTTAAATGGTTTGTTATATGGTTTTTTCGATAAATCAAGTTTTCAAATCAATCAATATAAATTTAAATAGTATAAATTTTTTATTATAATTTCTAGGTGTATGTTTAGCCAACAATTGGCTCCTATATTTCATCAAACTGCAGATATCATTCATGAAGAGTATCCAGTGAGTTTTTTTTTGTTTTTTTTTTAATGTCGATAAAAATTGTTTTAGCTAAATTTATTTACTTAAATTTTATTTTAAAAAATGTAAAATAAAAATGTAGCTGTTAAAAAAAACTATTTTAAACAACCAGAATTTATGGAAATATTTCTATACAAGTACATTTAGTCTTAGAAATACCATAAACTGGGATCTTGGGATGAACAAAGATTTTTAAATATTTGTGATTTTGTATTAAAAACGTAGCTAGGGAGAGGGGGCCTCTATAAATGTAACAATTAGAATAATTAAAACATTTAAAGTTTTTTGGCAACAGTGATATAGTTTATATTTATATTAATTATATTTATATTACTTATGTTTATTTTTAAATTTAACTTTGGCTTATTACTTAATTTTTTATTTATTATTAAAAAAAAAAGGGAAAAACTGTCGCTTCTTTACCGTACATCGCATGAGAATTATAGGGTTCTATGTGATGTTTTTTTAATTTTGAGAAAATCAATTTTAAAGTTTTGTATCCTCTTCCCATGGAAACGTTAATAGTATTTCGGACAAATTTTTGTCCAAAATGATTGTATTCTTTCTCTAATGCTATAACTAAGTTAAAATGGAATTAGACGAAATATTTTGTAAACTAAGCAATACTTTCGATTTTAGTTAGAATGTTTTCCGCAATAGTAACGTATTTTTGTTAGAATTAAAAGGTTCTACAAGAAATATTATTTCTGTTAGAACGTTTTCTACAATAGTAACATATTTTTGTTAGAATTTAAAGGTTCTACAAGAGACAACATTAAAAAACTAAAGCATTGGATAATTTATTAATAATAAGAAAAAATAAGAAGAATATCTAAAAAATAAGTTTAAGTATCTAAATATTTCAACAAATTTTTATAACATTTTCATAATATTCCTTATCTTGTAAAGGCATAAATTTGAGCATGTCTTTCAGATCATTCTTTTTTTTTTTCTGTAATGGCACTTTGATTAAACTTGAAAAGAATACTTGGTTTAGGCAAAGTAAACATAATATTCTTTTTAACTTCTGTATCTTTTTTTCTAGTATATTTCTCAGGTGGCTTTACATTGGTTGTATGAAACATTTTATTTGAATAAGAAACTTTATACCCAACAAGAGGTGCACATTTAATTTGGAGTGATGTTATCTTTGAAAATGGCACATTTTTAAATAAAAATTTGTTTGCAACATTTTAAAAATCTTTAAAATTCTCTGGCTGCATTTGAATAATTGTAAATGGTTTTTTCCTGTTTACTGTAAGTAAAAGTCTCATTAATGAAATTGGTGAGTAAAATTCAGAAGGCTGCAGTGTTTTTTCAATTTGACTGTGCATGTTATCAACATCCTGAACTGCAGAATGTCCTGGTACACTGTACTTCATTGTAATATCTTGAACTAGTCGGTGCTGAGTTAGAAAATAAATCATGGCAGTTGTCATAATTGAGTTGCAGTTTTGAGGAATACAACTATCACTCCAAGTAATGTAATGTTTAGCTACAGGAAATGTTTTTGCAACATCATCAAAAATTTTAATAAGTCCGCTTGCAAGATCATTACCTATTCTTCCTGAAGTTACTTCTGGCCAAACAACACAGTACTTCTTAATAGTTTTGTTAGATTTAGCATGTGCTGTCAGATTGTAAACATTTAGTTTTCTTTTGTAGAAAAAGCTACTTATTTTAGCTTCGGACACTGAACAACATTTTGAAGATCAAAACTAATTACTACTAAATCAACCAGCTCATTGTTATGGTCATATGTTTTTTTTTCACGCATTGCTATTTTTTCCTGCAAATGAACTTGCTGTACCTCTTCCATGGTGTTTTCAAGTTTATTATTTTCTTTTGCTACTTTATAGGCTTCATAAGCATCACACCTGTCTTTTTTTGATTTATGCAAACTTAAATTAAACTGAGTATTAAATATAAATCTAAAGTAGGACTCTTTAACTTTTTTTACTTCTTCCTCACCATTCGTTTCGATGTACAGCTGATACATCTTTTTTAAATTCAAATTTGAGGGTAAGTACTGTCGGGTGCTTGAAGAGCTGCAATAGTGACTATCAACTGTTGGAAATGAACTTATGAAGTGAATTAATTTATTTTTTATTTCATCTGTAACCTCTCTTTTAGTATGCGTACCCCTCATATCTGCTTTTGGCGTACCAGTCAACGGATCCTTCTTTTCATGCACATTGTAAATAACTTTTTGACTAATACATAGTGTTTGTATCCAAAAAGTTTTGCAAACTCTGATTTCTTCATTTGCTACAACAAAAAATATTGAAAGGAATAATGTCTTTTTGAAAAACCTTCTTTAGTCTGACGAGCTGTTAAATTACGTCTTGTATAACTTAAAATGAAAAAGTTTTGCCTATCTTTGTCCATATTGTAGTACGACTGTTTAATAAAATTTCTCTACTCAAAGGAAAGTTTAGCGTTGCATTTATACTTGCAGTTTTCTTTACATGTTCAAAAAGAGATTGAGTTTAGACAACAAATTTTGTCGTCTAAACTCAATCTCTTTTTGTTTAATAAGTAAAATTTGTAATTAAATTAAATTTATAAAAACTTTACTCAATTGACTCTTCACTATTGCCATTTTCATCATTTGAATCATCAAGATATTAGATGAAAAACTCTGATTAAAGTCTTCATTAATTGCATTTAAAACATCTTGCAAAGACAATTTCTTATTTTTGCGAGCAGCCATCTTTTATTTAAAACTTGAAATTATTTATGTTGTTTATGCCGATAGAACCTTCTAGCACAAACAATTTATGAGGAACTTTATAATTCTGAATGATTCCTACAATACCCTGCGTTACAATTGGAACTTTTATCAAAAACTTATTCAAATCTGGAAATTTTTATAAAAGGTTTTAACAGATCATAGATATTGTCTACACCACCATGATTATGTTTACAACTCATTTTTTTCCAAAATGTCAGTTAGAACCCTATAATTCTCATGCGAGGCGTAATCAAATCTTTGATAAACAACTACTTCAGCATTAATTATGACAGTGCCTACTAAAATTTAAGTTAAGCTTTAGTCTTAAAGATTTTAAGCATTAAGATTAAAAAAAACCAACTATATTTATCTTAGTTGTAAAATATTTTAAGCCAGTTTAAGAGATGCATCAAAGTTGTTGTAGTTAAGTCCACAGGCAATTGCCTTAAAGAAAACCAGAAACTTCGTTTTTATATCATACTTAGACTGAGTTAATCAATTTTAGACTTATTAAAGTTAAAATCTTGCAGTTATAAGCTTTAACAAAATATTTAATATTTTGAATAAAGTATTGAGACATTTGATTGATAAAGATTATTATGAGGGAGTTTTCATTTTGTTTTCATTTATGTTTGTTTCTTTTTAGGATGTAAAGTTTGGTCGTGTTGATTGCGAAAACCAACAACAAATAGCACTTGAAAATATGATCAGTAAATATCCCACAATGAAGTTGTTCAAAAATGGCAAAGCAATGCGAAAAGAATATCGCGGCGCACGTTCAGTTGATGCATTCACAACATTTATAAAACAAAATTTAAAAGCATCTGTAGTTGATGTCAACAATAAAAATGATCTGCACATTAATGTGAGTAGTTTATTATTTATTTATTTATAAATTAATATTGTTTTTTTACATGTAGGAATGGGGTGCAAGTCGTCCTCCTTCCTTACATTATTCCAATAATAATTTATATATATATATATATATATATATATATATATATATATATATATATATATATATATATATATATATATATATATATATATATATAAATTAGTAGAAAATCACTTAACAAAATTTTTTTTCAATTAACACTGTGTTTCATCAATAAAGACTCATCAGAAATGAATAATCAAATTAATAAAACTTCAATTTATACCAAAAATTAAATTACAGGAAATCGCAAATGCTAATTAATTGTTCTGTTCTTTTAAGAACTTTGAGTACTCTATTTTGTATAATGCATTTTAAAATTGTTTAAATATATATATATGTGTGTGTGTGTATATTTATATATATATATATATATATATATATATATATATATATATATATATATATATATATATATATATATATATATATATATATATATATATATATATATATATATATATATATTTATATATATATACTTATTAATACTCTAATATTTATATATATATATATATATTTATATATATATATACTTATAAATACTCCTAATTCTGAGGGTTGATATATATGTATATATATATATATATATATATATATATATATATATATATATATATATATATATATATATATATATATATATATATTTATTATTTTAGGAGAAAAAGAATACCATTGTTGCTTATCTTGAAGGAAAAAATGATGCATATCAGAATTTTAATAAGGTAAGAGTATTTTAATTAAAGTTAAACATTTACACAATCAAATTGTAATTTTTCTGTCAACCATTTCATAGTTATATGTTTTTATTTCACTTTTATTTTATAAGCTTATTTTTAATGTATGTTTTTTCTAATATTTAATGTTTTTTTTTTTCTTATTTTAATATATGTTTTTTGTGATCTTTCTATGTTTTTTCTGTATTTTTAAAAAGTTAAAACTATTAAAAAATTGATACTAACAGCTAAAAAAAATTATGTTGTAAAAGTGTGATTAATCAAACATTTAAAAAAAGTAAAAAAAATAGCTCATAAAAAATCTTTGAACATACATAATATAACATGTAAACTAGTAAGTAGCGCTCACCTTACGATAATGTCTTTAATATTTCTTTAGTAGAGATATTAATTTTGATATAGATTAGATTAATATTTATTAGTACAGTGATACATGTTCTAAAGGGCATGCAGGTCTATAAAATATGAAGGACTCTGATAATGCCCTACAGTCACATAATGCATGTGCTAAAGAATATACAAAAAAAATATGTATTACTATTATATAATACCACAGTTATAAAACAAAAATTATTTAGCCGGAACAGTATTTTTCAAAGTTGATAGAGTTAATTTTAATTTTGAAGCTCTTAATATTTTTGGCATAAATAACATCAGACAGCAAGTTATTCCAAATATTACCAACCCTGAGTAAGAAAGAGTATTTACGAACATCGAGTTTACACTTTAGTTTGCGTGATTTAAATTTATGACCTTGAGTGTAATTATAGTTGTTTATTCATAAGAGAAAATTAAAGAGAAGATTTAACCAGAGCGCAATATTCTAAAATCGGTCTTATTTAGGTAGTGTAGGCTTTTACGATAACACATGGATCATGACTTTTAAGACACTTTACATTTTTAAAACACAAATCGTAGTCCTAACTTATATTTGATAAATGAGAAATAAAGCCAATTGCATCTGTATTTTTGAAATCTTAAAAAGATTCAGAGTTTGTTTTGACTGATAATAATATATGAAAATGGACTTGTACTAAATTATAATTACACTTGTACTAAATGGATACTAAACAGAAATATTACTTAATAGACACTCTACAGAAATATTAATTAATAGCTAATGATGTTTGAAAGTACATATTAGTGCTGAGGCCTGCTCGAAAAAATAATATTCTTAATCATGCAAGACTGTTAACTAAAGTATATAAATAAAAAAATATAAAGATAATTATATTGAATTGAGATATTTTTAAATATTAAAGATGCTTTGCACAGAAGGGAAACAACATCGATGATAAAATGTTTAATCATTTATTTTAATCATTAACTTTGTAGTAATAAGTTACTAATGCTGTAAACTTGAAAAAGATAAATGCTGTAATTTTATTAAAGTTCTTAAAATTTTTTAAGATTTCTATGAACAAATTTTGAGACTAGCAAAAAGAGTAAAATTTAGAGATTTCACAAAAAGAATCATTAAGTATTTCTATTATTTGCAATTGAATATATTTTTTCAATTTCTATAAAAAAAAATTTATTTATATGATTTTTTTTTTTAAGCTCTATTCTCTATTTACTCTTAAGGAATTAAATATACATTTTTAATTAAATGTACATTGGTTTTGAGTAAAGGAGTCCATTTTTAATTAAATGTACATTGGTTTTGAGTAAAGGAGTCCATTTTTAATTAAATGTACATTGGTTTTGAGTAAAGGAGTCCATTTTTAATTAAATGTACATTGGTTTTGAGTAAAGGAATCAATAGAGTTCTGAGAATTACCTATATATTTAAGGGAGAAGCTAACACATCATGAATCCTAATTTCTTTTTTTAAATACCACTCTGCACTGATACTTATTACTTGCTTGTCCTTGCTAAAACCTGTCAGTCCCTGTATCAGTTAATATATATGTGTTAATTCATCATTTTTAATTTTTGGAGAATAAATCTACAAAACTTTGCTTAGATTATGAGTTTCAAACAACAATTAATGGTTTAAAGTACTGAAAACTCTGTGTCTAATTATAAACCCTGGAAATTTGAGTCTGTAGTAATAAAGATATAATACAAAAAGATTATCAATGCATATAGTATAAAAATATCAACACGTACTTTTACTATCATTTTTTTTAATAACAAATTATGTTTTTGTTTTTTTATGAAAATTATTTTTAAGTATTCAAAAACTAAAATATTTTTTTTTAAACATTTTTTGTTTATAAAACATTTTATATCTTTTTAATGTCATTATGTTACATTTTAATAATTTAGATTGCAGATGAGATGAATGAAATAGCTGATTTTATTGCTGTCTTAGGGTAAGATTTATATGAAGTTAAAAGTTTTCTTATATAATTTTATTGCTGTATAAATGATGACAGGCTATGAGTATAAGTGATGATAGGTTATGATTATAAATGGGTTGAATATGATTTCTGTATCTGTTAAGTCAGCCCATAAAATTAGGTTGGCATTTAGCAAAGCTGACATTAAAACTGACTTTCTTTTCTTTTTTGTGGCATACAAGCACTGACCTGAATCCGTTAAAATGTCTGCATGCAAATAATTATATTATATATATTTATTTGCATGCAGATAAATATATATAACATATTATTTAAAAAAATATATAAATGATAAATTTTTTGCATATAAAAAGATTAAAAAATAAAAAATTATCCCCAAAAAAGCAACAACTTAATAACATTTAAGTTTTAAAAAAAAAATTTATTCAATGAAAAAACAAAGATCATTAGTTCATTCATAGCAAGCTTCAAAATTCTTATCAAATTGTTTGTTGTCTTTTTTTTTCTTGCAATGATCCGAGTGATTATAATAAAGTTATCAAGTTGAAAATATTTTTCTTTTAAATCATTATATTTTTACTTATTTATTTTTACTGTTTTACAATTATTTCAAAGAGTTTAATTGAGTCAAGAAAATTTAGTCTATGCATAATAATTGAAACAAGAAAGTTTACTTTTTGCATATTTAATTGAGACAAAGTTTATTATTTGCATATTTAATTGAGACAAGAAAATTTAGTCTTTGTATAGTTAAATGAAACAATCAACTGAATATGTTTGACACAAGAGGTGTGTGTTCAAACAATATATTGTTACATAAACAGTTTTACACTTGTAAGATGCAATATCTAACAACTTGTAAGATGCAATATCTAACAACTGATTCAATTAAGATCCCAAGTAGAAATGTGTGACTTTAAAGCTTTCCATGTGCTATATCTCTAATTGTGTTCCAGCATAATTTAATTTTCTCCATTAAAGTTTTCCTTTTAATAACCATTTAAGGTTTAAAAAGAGTACTGTACTAAAATATTCATTTTAAGAATTATTATGTATGGATACAAAAGGTTTCATTTTCCACTATTTTAAGAATGCAAATAATTTACGTTATACAAAATTGTTTCAAAATAAATAAAATGTAAGAAGCTGTTTCCTATGAATACTTTATAATAAATTATCTTAAGATTTTATCTGTCTACTTCTTCTTACAGGAGTAAAGCTTCTTGGATTTGGAGACAACTGTAAAAGTTTTTTGGATTAGGAGACAACATTATCAAGAAAATTGGAACATATTGAATGAAGCTATCAAAAGGAGAGTAAGGAAAGTTAATCACCCAAAGACTTTATTTCAGTTCAGTGTACCAAAGAGAAAAAGATTCACAAGGTTAAACTTTTATAGCTTTTTGCTCTAAGGAAAGAAAAAAAGATACATTTCAAAATATTAGATGGACTTTAATGGTATAAAAGAAATTAAATGAAGAGAGTCAGGGTTAGATATTAGAAAAGAAAACAAAAAAAAATCTTTTGTCTCTATGATCCATGATGATTTTATTTGAAAGTTTCATTTCTTGACTAATGGCTAGCTTAAGTATATTTACACACATGGTGTAAAATAAAAGTAAAACACAGTACTGTAGATGGTCCAGGTCACATTGTAAAACAAGATAATGAAGTTCAAAATAGAGCTTATTTTGTCCACTCTGAATCTTTGATTTAAACTCTTATACCATGCTATGTTGAAGAATTAAGAAAACTTGCCTGTAAAACAATTAAAGATATAAAGGATAGTGCTTAGTTTGTAGATAAGCTGTAAGTTCACAAAAAAAGTGTCCAAATGTCCAATGCACAATCTTTATCTATCAAAGAGCCATTAGACTAGAAGAAGAAACTAATATCAGAACCAGTGTTGCATGCCAAAAGTTCTACATATGATCTTGATAAACATTTGGTTATTCATTTTCAAGCTCTGTACTTTCCTCTTCACATGCAGTCTTTTGAAAAAGCATTTAAAATAGGTTGCATCAGTATTTTTCATTTCTGGTTTTGTAAAGAGAGATAGGGTTGTGAGTGGATGACTAAAAATAATGTGTGAGTCTAAGGATGACTTTTTTTAGTGTAACACTTTTGGGGAGTGCAAGAATGTCTAATAATGTGTTACCCAATTTTTTTAAACAAATCAGAAACAAATATATTTCAATTAACAAATTAACTTTTTTTTTTTAACAAATAGTAATTATTATATCATTTCCCCCGTTAAATAGTTGTCCAGGCCAGTCAATTGTGATATTTTTAAATTTGTTCTTGTCTCTAGATAAATGTAAAGCTCAAATATATACTGGTGTGATAATGGTGTGAATATTTTATATTAAGGCTTTTATGTGAAGTGAATAAAATGTTATTCACTTTTCATCATATATGTAATACATAAAAAATCTACCCAGTTTCTAGTTTTAATAGTTTAAAAAGTTTGACTTACATTTATGCCTAAATTTGTTTGCCTATGATTTTTTGATGCCGCGAATATGCGAATAATACTGAATATGTGGCTAGTTATCCCAATACCTAATATTGATGTAATTATTAATAATAAAAGTGTTGCTAAATATGCTAAAATAACTCAGTGTAACTCAAAATAACAAAGTGTTGCTAAATATTTAGCAACACTTAGTTGTTTTGAGTGTTCCGACCTGCTGCGTTGAAATGCATATGTCAGCTATACTGTGTGCATTTTTGTTTCATTTGTTGCTAGGACCTGTCACAGCACACTCATTATAGTTTTTAACTATAATAATGTATAAAAGTATAATACTCTTCAAATTATTCAAAAAGATTTTGAAAATAACCAGCTCATGTGTATTCCACAATTCTATATTGCAACTAATTTTTGCTGTTTAATACGATCTTTGTCTTGTACTACGCTTTGTTACTCATTTCTATCTTGATTTCTGCTTAAGACACAACCCATTTTTATCTCAAAGCCATTTGATGCATGAAGTACTACTTTCTGTTGATCTTTTTTTGTAAATCATGTACTTTTTGAATCAAAAATGTTTAAATCAAAATTCAAATATTTTTATTGTTTTGTTTTTATTACATTTATTTAATGCATTGCATTTAGTAAGTGTAATAAAATCTAATTAATAAAATTCAAATTTCTCATAAGGATGCTTCTATATTTGAAAAAACTATTTAAAAAGTATTTTTAAGAAGTCAAAAATTAAAAGCTTTTTTTAAATTGAAAAAATGTTTGGAACTGAAAGTGTTTACAACACAAATAATATTTTCTTCAAATTTTTAGTTAGTAAATTTGTAATTTTTTTAGAGATGCAAGTGCTCAGGAGCGTCATATGGGAGAAACTATTATATTTAAGCCCAAGAAGGTATTATTTATATACATTGTCAACAAGGTATTATTTATATACATTGTCAAGAAGGTATTATTTATATACATTGTCAAGAAGGTATTATTTATATACATCGTCAAGAAGGTATTATTTATATACATTGTTAGGTTATCATAAATTTTTTGTTAAGTGTTAATATTGGAAATAAAATTGTTTAGACTTCTGGTGAATCAGAGGCTGCTCTTACAGTTGCTTTAAATAATTACGAACAACTTAAACAATGGGTTAGTGACAAAGCTAATCCATTAGTAAGAGAAATAACATTTGAAAATGGAGAAGAGCTCACTGAAGAAGGTCTGCCATTTTTAATTCTTTTTCATAAGCCTGACGATATCATAAGCATTCAAAGATTCAAAAATGCTGTAGCAAGAGAACTTTTATCAGAAAGAGGTTAATTATTAATTTATTATTTATTTCATCAAGAATAAAGGAATTACTGGAAATTAAAAAGATATTAAAACTTTAATTTTTTAGGACGTGTAAATTTTTTAACTGCAGATGGTACAACATTTGCTCATCCATTACATCATCTTGGAAAATCAATTCATGTAAATGCATTTACCTTTAATAGCAGTACAGATAATATAAATAGATTATAGATAATAATAGATAATATAAATAGATTATAGATAATAATAGATAGTAAACGTTAACATAGCAAGCATTAAACATGTTGTTAATACATTAGTTATATATTGTTGATTTTTTTTTATAGGATTTACCGTTAATTGCTATTGATAGTTTCAGACACATGTATATGTTCAAGAGATTTGATAACATAGAGTAAGTATTATTTCATTATTTTGAATTGGATTTAATACTTTAAATTTAATAATAATTTTTACTTTATTTTTTAATAGTGTATCAGGTAAGTTTAGTATTTTGAATTTAATATTAATTTTTACTTTAATTTTTAATAGTGTATCAGGTAAGTTGAAGCAGTTTATAAATGATCTTCATTCAGGAAAGTTGCACCAAGACTTTCATAATCCACCTCCTGACACTGTTGTTGAGACACCAAATGAAGCTGTCGAAGTTCATCAAGTAGTTTTTTTTTTTTTTTTTTTTTTACAAGTTTTTATTTGCTTATATTAACGTATTCACATAACTTTTTTTATTTAAACCTTTGATCTTACTATGTATTTATACATATTCATAATATTACTTACTTTTTTTCATGTTTAATGTTACTTACTTTACTTATGTGTTATGGCATTTGTAGTTTTATAATTAATTGATTTTATTATTTAATATTTATTAAATTGAATGTGTTTATAGCTACATCATACATACACACACTACATACACTGCTTTAACAGTAGAGATTTTGTAAAGAAATTATTTAATTAGAAACATTCTTTAAAAATCGAAACAAACATCGTAATCATTAAAACTGAAGAGCATTGTGATATCTCATTAGTTTGCATCTGCACATGCTTACATATAATCATTTGTATCTTTGAGCTCTATATACCCAAACCATCTTTCTAAATCTTCGGAAATAATTCGGAAAAAAATGATATGACCTTGCTTCCATGTAAAAAAAAAACTATTAATAGATTTGCTTGCATATATGCAGGCCATCATACAACTGTGATGATATAAAGATGAGACATTGATGAGTGAGTTAAACAAAACTTTCCTGCGTTGATTTCTGACAATTGTAAAAGGGTAAAAATTTCTCAAAAAACACAAATCTGCACCCTATATCACCAAAATTTTTGAAACTTGGCACAAATATTTATAGACATGTTAGGAAAGATTGTAATTTTTTTTTCATAAAATTCCTTTCCATTTATAATTTACAGCAATTTGAATTTTCCTTGATTTTGACCAAAAACTGAGGGGGGGAAAGTGCCGAAAATCATTCCGTTTACTTTCACCTTAATATGGAGCTTGTAGTGATGCCACAATTCTGAAACTTTGTACCAAAAGAGTTTAAAACCTGTTAAATCCGAAAAATATAATTTTTTATATGTCAAAACAAGGGAATGTAGCTTATTTTAAGATCCATAAAATACACTTTATAACACCGAGAAAAAAGGGCATTGACAATTATAGCTATAAAAAAAATCTGACTGATATAAAAAAAATTTAATTTTGATTTTCTTAAAAGTAAGATCAACACCTACTTTTCGAACTAATTTTGTTTTGGCCTTATATTTAGATGAGGAATTATTGATGTTTGATATAGACACAAATTTTTTTAATATTTTTTAAATTAGAGACTTAATATAGGAAAATAATTTTTTTTTAAGTCCTCTTTGGCTAAATAGTAGCAAAGTCCTGTTTTTGTTATCGGTACCTCAACTTTGCAAATAATGTGGACATCAGGAATCCAGCATTGGCTTTCCTTTGATGGCCATTTAAATGACCGTGCAGGACCATTAGGACACATAAATTTTACAAGCACATCTTTTTCTTCTAAATTAATATCTTCAATGACTCCTATCCACCACTTTTGCTCATAGGAAACACAGGCATAATCATATGGTACTAAGTTTACAGTTGTTATCTGGATATTTCCAAAGTCATGAATTAAAGCAAATTCTTCATCAACACTGCATAGCTTAGTGCCTACCTAAACAAAATAGTAACATATACAATTATTCTGTTTTACTTATCAAACATGTTTTATTAAATGCATAGATAGCAAATGCAGAGGAAATAAAATAAAATACAAATATTTTTGATAATGATTCTGCAAAAATCTAATATCTATTTGAGTTTATCAATAAAAGTTATGCGTGTATTTTAAAGTATGGTAAAAGGTATAATTAAAAAATAATAATTTACCTTTTGATGGCCAAGTGGTACAAACTGAAGGTAACTACGTGTTCCAGGTATTGTATTAGCAGTATCCAATCGTTCTTTAAGAGCGCTTCTCACCAAAGTTAAATCTTCTGATGAAATATATATGAAATTTATGCCTTCAATGTTTTCATTGCAATATTTATACATTGTTTGTGGAGTTAAAATATGATTACCCATATCTCTTTGCAAACTTGCTAGTGTTGCCAGACGTTTGACTGTACCACCTATCCCATCACAAGGTTGCTTACCGTGACTAGTTGCAAAAAAGTTCTATTTAGCAGTAAAACCAAAATCTTCACAAAGATTTAACATATTTTTGCAATTCTTATATTGACCTGCACACCCATCTGAAAAGTATTCAATATTTTTTATTTGAGGCAAATTTGTTTTTATATCATTGCAAACAACCTCAATAATTTTATAAACCATGTTTACATCATGGATCATATCATCCGAAATAATACAATAGGATTTGTGCTTGAGAATGCCTTCTTTTTTGAAATAAATAATCACTGGATGGAGTGTACATTTGTCCTATGAAAGCTTTGCACATCATCCTGAACTACAAATTTATAGTTTTCTGAAAAATCACCCAGAAATAATGTTGTTACCTCATTCATATCTTCTTTTCTTGATCTCAGTATAATGCTTGACTCTTTGCTAAATACGAATGTGGTGCAAGTTTTTCCAGTTTTCTACATACTAGCTCAATGTATTCAAACACTGGCTCTTTATTATGTGTCAAGTTTGACCTATCTGTTGTTGTCCATTGATCAAATTCAATATCATCATCATCTTTAAATTCTCCAAGTATATCATAAAGTTTTTCAACCAATGCATTCATAGTTGCTGGGCGTTTTTCACATTTCGTCATCATACAGTCTTTATTAGTTATATCACAGACAATATAAGGTAACAATTCTTTGTATGTCACACCAAGAGGATGTAAAAGCAGTTTCAAATTCTGATGAATAGCACAGAGACATACAGAATGTGTTCCTGAGGCACCAACAGTAATACACCATTTAGGTCGCAAGGTGCAAAACTTTGAAAATCCTATTTTTATTTCTGGGTTCTTGGTTTTAAAGGCAACAAACAATTCCTTTAAATTACATAAGAGCAAACATTTTTGCATGTGGTCATTTTTCTTTATGCTTACATAGTCCTTTTTACCAGGCATTATACGGCTATGTTCATCGTCTTCGTAAAAGGTCTTGACCAGTTGAACTGTTACATCAGGAAGAACATTTCCTAATTTAGGATTAAGCATGGTTAAAATACCTTTTCTTAATGTTAACTTATGTGCAGTTCGAGCTACATAGTTTGTTACATGCAATGTTTCTGATACCTTTTTTATTGACCAGTCTGTTGGAGCAAGTGTTGCAAGTTGTACTTTTTTTGATGTTGATGTAGACTCTGCAATTTTGTTAGTTAACAATACCATCATGTTATCAAACAAGTTTGCTTTTTCCATATACTCATTATTAAAACTTGACTGTATTTCAAAACTGTCTTCTGATATATTAAGGGAAATGGCTACCTTTTTTTTTAATGGAGGTTGTTAATGCTGTCAATTTTCGTTTACCTTCTCTGGTTTTACCTGACTTGTGCAATCCTTTGACCTTAATTTGAGAAACTCCGGCAGATGCAAAGTGTGTATCTACACTTTCTTTTTTTTTTGGAATGGATCTTTCATTAACAATATCAAAATCTTCATCATTTTTATTTTCACATTATGACTTATTAATAATGATATTACCTAATGAAATATAAATGTATAAATTTTTACCTCTACACACCTTTTGGTGACTCAGAAATGGATTACAGCAACTTTTTTGATTACCCTCATATCTTACAACTAACATATCATGATGGTGTGTGCATATATTAGTAATTTATTCTTGTTTCAGATTTGTTCGTTTTTCAAGTAGCTTACGATCATTGCTGTCAATATCTTCAATCAGATTTCTTTCTTGAGTATATGATTGTTTGTAACAAGCTCCATAATTATTTACAAAGCCGCAATTAATTTTGTTATCCATATAAAAATATAATGAGGAATCTCTGTCTAAACACTTAATACAAGAAATCTTAAATAATCTTAATGTCCCTAACAAGAAAAGTACACTTAAACAAACAATATCATATCAATATGTATTTATAAAGAACATATTGCTTGAACAAGTAGCTATTAGTTTAATAGACATATTTTAAATGCTAACTATCTACTAATTATTGTAAATTCTCCATTAATTACTTACAAAAAGTTGTGTAAAAGAAAAAGATAACTAAATATAATTTTATTTAATTATGTAACTTAACATGGTATATCATTTTATTACTTTTTTTATTGATGATAATAAATGTTTTATTACAACAAAAGTTACATAATATTGTTAAATTTAATGACATGATATTATGTAATGAAAATGACATTATTATTATGTAATGAAAGTAAAAAGAAACAAATTTATAAAATGTTCAACTATGTTTTGTAATAATTTTGTAAATTTTTTACAAAGCTATTACAAAACAAAAATAATTGTATTTGTATTCAAAATATATTTGCACATTTTTTTTTTTTTTGCAAAATATTTTTAGAAAAATTGAAAAACTAAAACATCAATAACTCCTTGATAAAACATAAGGCCAAATAAAAATTGGTTCGCAAAGTAGATTTATGTTTAATATTTAAAATAACGAAAACCAAATCTTTTTTTCATCAGTCAGATTTTTTCTAGAACTATAGTTGTCAATGGCCTTTTTTATTGTCATTAACAAGTGCGTTTTGTGGATCTAAAAATAAACTATATTTTATTGTTTTGAGAGATAAAAGTTTATGATTTTCAGATACGCAGGTTTTCTTTAGTAAACTCCTTTGGTACCAAGTTTTAGCTTCGCAACATTACTACAAGTTTGTTAAAAGGGTAATGGTAAATTAACATATTTCCGGCTTTATCCCCCTTCTTTTTTCAGTCAAAAAATAACTAACTTCAAGTTGCTGTAAATCTTAAAGGGTTGAGAATGTTTTGTAAAAAATTTTACAGTCTTTTCTAATTTACATCTTTAAACATTTGTGCCAAATTTCAGCGAATTTGGTGATGCAGGGTGCAACCCCTTGTTTTTTGAAAATTTTTTACCCAAAAGACACTTTCTCATGAACTTATATGCTAGAACCTGTTTTAATCACCTGACAATGGGTTTTAGGTTAAACAAAACGTTTACTGGTAACGGTTTGACTTTTAAGTAATAATAAAGTTTATATGTCTCGATATCCAAGAAACCTTACAAGATTTATTTTAAGTAGATTATTTTTAATGAGTACCATATAAACTCTGTATAAAATATTGGTTAACAAATGTAAATATTTTTTTAAATCATAAATTAAATGGTTGAAATATAAATTTTTTTAAATGAGCATAAATTTGATAAAGTGAGAGTCCCATAACTTTTTTTAAATTTAAAAGAAGGCTCATTAGCATAATTTTTTTATAACTTTTTTTAGGAGGTACCAAAAGAAGCAACGCAAGAAGGAGGTGATATACAAACAAAATATGATCCAGCTTCTCAAGAAAAGAAAACCGAAGGCGGATCAGGATCTGGTCAAGCACCTCCTCCCGAGACAGTGTTCAATAAACTTGCACCATCAGAAAACAGATATACGCTTTTACATTGGCGAGATTATTCTGGAGAATGGCGTGATGAACTGTAAAATATTATCCGTTATTTTTTGAAAAGTTTTTTTTAATTTAAAAAAAAAACTATATCAGTTGTATATTATCATGGCGAGTATCGATGAGTATTATTTTGGTGGCAAAGCAATTGTTTTATTTATGTGTAAAAGACCACGTTAAATGTATATGTAGTTAAAATTTAGGGCTTATTTCAAAATGCTTTTGTTTCTATTATTTTTTTAGTATTGTACTTTTAGTCATTTTTCTCTAAACTAAAAATGCTGAATCTAAGTTGTTTTGTAGATTTTTGATTCTAATATAGCTTTTGCGAAATTCCTTTTTAGCTCCTTTATTTATTATTATTTTAGCGTTGACAATTTCAGTCATTTAACTTGACTACGCAGATTGTTCGTGATAATGTACAGCGAAAAATTATAAATAAAAAATTAGCTATTTATTTTATTGTTTTCCTCGTTAATTAATAACTCGTTTAACAGCGGGCTTGCGTGTATTTTTTTATATCAGTTTTTAAAAAGTTTTTATCAAACGCACTTCTTGTTTAATATAAACATTTGGTCCATGTCTTTGATTATATAAAACGCAAAACAAATTGTTTATCGATGGCAGCTACGATGTAATTGGGAGTCCGTTTTAATTCCACATTTAGAACGCTTGATTAACCATTAACTACTTGAAAGTGTATATTTATTCTCAAGGGCTTAACTAGTTTTGAAATCTCGTTCCGCCTTTTTGATTTTTGCAAAATTGTTTACCGGTTAATAAAGAAACAGTTCGAACAGATTTATGGATCGAATCAAAGTGTTTAAAACACGAATACGCTTGAATAAGATCTCGGGCGGTGTTTGATGAAGCGTGTAATCTTTAAACATGCAGAGGAGCTCAAAAGAATTTCACCGTTGCACGAGAGCTCAACCAAGTTATCCAAGTATTTTTTTTTTAAAACTTTTTTTTTCAAGCAATGAAAAAACGTAGCAAGTTTCACCTTAAATGTTGAGCGGAACCCTTCCGCTTAACGAAAAGTTTTTAAGTATGGAAGATGTATTAGATACAACATTTTACTCCGATGATTTTCTTACACGAACTCTTACTACGTCCGTTTTGTATGATAAATCACAGCTCGATCTTACATTCGTTGAGAATAATAACTGTTTGCCATCAAAACGGCCACAATATGAATCTACTGTTGAATCTCCTAACCTTGATTTTTTAAAACTCGGTTCACCTGATCTTGAACAGATGTTTATGAACATAAATGAAAATGATTCAAACTTTTCAAGTGAAGATAAATCTGACTCTTCTGCTTTTTCTTTGGATGACGATTTTGTGAGTACGGAAAATTGTTTTACCGATGCTCTTCAGCAATTGCATGACAAACAAGAAATTTTACCAACTGATTTTTCTGGTACAAATTGTAATAATAGAGTTGGCAAAGAAAATTTACATTCAAAAATTTTGCAAGGAAAGCGCAAGCCTATATCGTCACCTATGAATATCCAAAAGCTAAGAACTCAAAATCCTATGAAACAATTATATAATCCAAATCAACAACGTAGAAACAATTTTCAGCATCCTTGTTCGCACCCTCCTAACAAAAATCAGCATCGTTTAAACAACCTTGCTGTTCATCATCAAAACAATATTTCTCATTTATCAATTTCTGAACAAATGGCGCTTAATAACCAATTAACAATGATGAACAACATGAACCAATCAATTAATGCCCACCATATGCAACAGCAACACGAAATTGCTTTTCTCACACAAGCAATGGGATTTCAATCTGACCGCGAGCCTAGTTTAAATTATCAAAACGACCGTACTATGATCAACTCTAACGGGTTCCAATCACAGCACAACGTACCATCGCAAGTCCCTTCGCAACTTCAACAAAAACTTTTAGAACATCAACTAATGCAGCAACAGATTGGCGCTAGTTATCAAAACAACAATAACAACACAACTCATCATGTGCCTCAAATAGACTCTATAAACGGTTTGGGTATTGACGAAGGAACATTAAAAATGCTAATGGAAAATCCTCACATGGTACCTGTAAATCTTGAATTGCAAGAACTTATAAAAAGAGAACGAAAAAAACTTCGAAACAGAGTTGCCTCTTCTAAGTGCAGAAAAAGAAAACTTGAACGAGAAGGAAGACTAGAAGATAAAGTTAAAGATTTAAAGGAAAAAAATATTGAATTAAATGCAGTAGCTAACGCGTTAAAACAACAAATATGTGACTTAAAGCAACGTGTAATGGATCACGTAGGTGACGGTTGTCAAATTGTTTTACCCCCTTAATGTTTTAATAACGGAAAAACTTGCTCTTCGATAAATTTTGAAATAATCGCGTGTTTTATAAAACTGATCTATATTATGTAAGTTCATCAGGCAACTTTTTTAAGCGCTCAGTAGATAATTGGACGTTCATCCAATAGAATTATTGGAAAGAAAATGTTTAACCAATAAAATTTCATTAGTAATTTTTTACATATTAGTATTTTTTTAAGGTACATTATTTATTTTGATACGCACTGTTGAATTAATGTTTATATCGGACCGAACAAAAAGTAATATTTTTTGCATTACCCACAAATGTACAGTGATTTCTTATGTTTCATATCAAACTGTATTCCAAAAGTGTTTTATTGGAAATTAAAATACCACTATGCAATATATTTATAAATATATATATATCTATATTTCTTTTATTGAATTTTTTTTTTTTTTGCTTATTAGTTTTTATAAAGGGAACACTCGTAGTTTTCTTATTATTTTTTTTACCCATTTCCCTAATTTTATTAGCTACTCTATATTTGGTTTATGTAGCAAGTATAGCAGTTATGTTTAGTTTGTTTGGTGTAGCGGACAACAGTTATGTTTAGTTTGTTTGGTGTAGCGGACAACAGTTATGTTTAGTTTGTTTGGTGTAGCAGATTTGTTAAAAACTTTTAAACTTTGTTTCCAATTATCACATTTCAACGTAATTGTTGCATATGCTGGTTTCGTGCTAAATCATATTCTGGTGTCTGATAAATATACAAATATTTACTTTTATGTTATTTTTTAATTTTATTAAAAAAATGAATAAGTTTTTTTAAATAGTTTGTTGCTGCTTTCTTTCAATTAGGTATTCATAAGTATATGAATAATGAGTGTATCTTCATTATTCGTATTCATTATTCATATAAATATATAATTTATTTACTACAAAATAATACACAAACACGTATTTTTTTTTCCCCTGATTTTAAATTTCCATCTTGTTTTGAGCCTGATTAACCAATCAGTATAATTCTCTTAATTATATGTAATCAATACATGTTGTATATTGTTAGCTAACCTTTATTAATAAAAAAATTTTTTGAAAAAAAAAAGTTTTTTTTGAAGGTTATCTTTATCAACAACAAAAGCATATTTAAAAACCTTGTAAAATTTTATGAGCTTTTCTTAAATGTTCGTCTTATAAAGAGGTTCTTAAAATTTGATTTATCATGGAACTCTCACACTAATGTCATTAATACAAAAATCTAAAAAACATTGGTCTACTCTGTAAAACAAGACCTTATATGTCGTTCAATAAATTAAAACTTCTTTATTTTTCCTTTATGCCAATATAGCATAGGCATGTACCCAGAAAACTAAATTAGGATCTCTCTATAGACGGCAGAAACTCGCTTTAAGAAAAATATATCTCTTGAAGAATCTTTTATATATATATATATATATCGTCTTTGCTTTTTTACCATACAAGCCATCAAAGGTGGTATCATCAAATCCTTTTTGTAATTGATAACAATTGCCAAGCAGCCCATAGTCTACACATTGCATTTTATTTTAAGCTATACACATACACTTATACGCATACACACATACAAATATAAACATACACAAGTACACTTACAAAATTACATTAACAATTATAATTGTATACTTAATAAGCACACATACACATATAAACATATACTTAACTATATATACTTGTATTCATATGTATATATATATATATATATATATATATATATATATATATATATATATATATATATATATATATATTTTTTTTATTTTTGCTTTTAAATTTTATTAGCCGTTTTACAGATCATAAAAACAGTGATATAATATAATTAGAGACTAACCAAAATATTTAAAAAATAAGATCCATACATTATGTTGGCTATGTGAAAAATATATTAGTAATTAAAATGGATAAAATAGCCACAAGATTGAATATTTTTTTAAAAGATATTAAAATATAATAACATTTACTGCTAAAAATACATAAATATATTATAAGAATTAGCTCCAGTGGGTGGACTGATTCATCTTTATTCATTGAATGGTTAAAATATTTTGTAGCTGTGACTCATGCGTCTAAAATTAATGAGCAATTAATTGTACCTGATGGTCATTATAGTCACAAAACACTTGAGGCCATTCATTTTTGTCGCAACAATGGTGTCCATCTCTTAACTCTTCTACCTCATTCTACACACAAAATGCAACCTTTAGATTGTACATTTTTAAACCATTAAAAGTTAGCTTCAATACAGCAGCAAGCAGTTGGATGTTATTCAACCAGGAGCGTAGAATTTTATTTTTTGACATAGTAGGTATTTTTGCAACCGCTAACTTTACTGCGATTTATTCTATTATTATCTATCATAATAATGCTATTATTGCAATTTAAGTATTGAGAAATAATTATTAATTATTTTCAACCCTTGAAATTTTGGAAAAGGGTTCCCAGCGTCCTAAAATTACTGTATTAAAACAGCGAAAAAGAAAGACAGAGTCTGCTGAAAATCTTACTTCACCATCTTTCAAGAAACGACTAGAAGAACATGAAAACAATGTGAAAGAAAAGCAACAAGCAGCCATAAAGCAAAAAAAAAAAAAAAAAGCTGCACTTAATAAGGTGATCAACCAAAAAATGAAATCAACAAATTTGAGGACAAAAAGTGAAGCCTGAAAAGCAGGAAAAAAACGTAATGAAAGTAAGAAACTAAAGACACAAAAGAAAAATATGGTTCCTGCCTCAAAATGTATTACTGATACAACTTTATGCAACATTTGTTCTTGTGCATATAGTATGCCACCATTCGATGATTGGACACAATGTATTAAATGTACATCTTGGTACCACTTTCATGTGGAACAGATAATGCTTCTACTGTGAATCATAGTATATTATTTGGACATTTATGTTAGTTTTTTAGTTATTTTTTTTAAATAACTAATAATAATAACTTTTATTTTTGAGAACTTAGTTGTTATAACTGTTTTAAAGGTATATCTGTTTGATTTTAGTTATTATATAGGGCTTAATTATTATATATGCTCAAAGAAGTGCATTTTGCCCGACGGCTGGGGCAAGATGTCTTCTTGCACAATTTATTGTTTTTTCGATTTTTAATTTAATCACCAGTAATAAAGTAGTCTTTTATCTTACTAATGTTTTCTCTTATAATTAAAGGTTGATATTGAAAAGAAAAAGCCCTAGAAAATGTAAAAGAGTTTGTTATGCACGACTAAGTTTAAGGCAGACCCTATAGTTAGTCAGCTAGGCACCCGACCCTATAGTTAGTGGGCTAACAAATCACTTAAAACAATCTCTTTAGCTTTTTTATAATTAATTTATTACTATTATTGTTATTATTATTATTAACTTAACTTTAACTACATATTTCAAGAAATGGGCTTGCAACATTTATGTCCATCTACTAAACATTTTCCTTCGGCTTCTTCATACCCTGGTAAACATGCACGACTGTTATGAAGACAATGAGACATTGGTCCATTACAAATTGAGCGACAACATCTTTTGTTTGGTTCTATACAGCTACTTGCAGGTGCGTCTTCGTGGTTGGGATTACATGGTTTTTCAATTGGTCCGCAATATGACAATGCTCCACTGGAATCACACTCGGATTTAGTACATCCTAAAAAGCGTAAATGAAAAGTGCGTTAAAAAGTAAAAATATATTATTATTTATAAAAAATTAAAAGAGTAAGAATTTTTCTAAAATATTGATTTTGTAAACTACGAATTGTGGCAAAACGTTACCAAGGTTACTTATTAATGTTATTTAAAAAAAATAACTACTGTATTAATAAAAATGCTAAAGTGGGCAAAACTTCATTTAAAAATGGACTATCAATGACTGTAAACGCGGACCTACATGTCAAAGTTTGAAATCTTTGGTTTCTGAAGTGTCTGAAGAAAACAGTGTCTGAAGAAAAAAATTGTTGATTTTATGATAAAGTAATGTGTATTATTGACTGTAAAACATGATAGAGGTAGTGTTAAGATGTTTTGGTAAGAATACCACAGGTGACTATATATATATATATATATATATATATATATATATATATATATATATATATATATATATATATATATATATATATATATATATATATATATATATATATATATATATATATATATATATATATATATATATATATATATATATATATATATATATATATATATATATATATATATATATATATATATATATATATATATATATATATATATATATATATATATATATATATATATATATATATATATATATATATATATATATATATATATATATATATATATATATATATATATATATATATATATATATATATATATATATATATATATATATATATATATATATATATATATATATATATATATATATATATATATATATATATATTTATATATATATATATATATATATATATATATATATATATATATATATAATATATATATATATATATATATATATATATATATATATATATATATGTATGTATATATATATATATATGTATATATATATATATATATATATATATATATATATATATATATAAATATATGTATATATATATATATATATATATATATATGTATATATATACATATATTATATGTGTATATATGTGTATATATATATATACATATATATATATATATATATATACATATATTATATATTTATAGATAAATATATATGTAATTTTAACATGTTATATATATGTATATATATATCATATATATATTTATTATTAGTTGAATTCAGTAATTCTTTTATCCAGGTGGGTGACGTAATTATATATATATAAGCATTTATATATATATATATATATATATATATATATATATATATATATATATATATATATATATATATATATATATATATATATATATGCAACATGTTAAAATTGCTTTGAGCAAAAAGCTAAAACTATCCTTTGAATCATAAAACAAACAAATAAAACCTAAAAGCATTTTCATTATATTACTATAAAATATGTATTAAACTATAATATCATATTATAATATGGCATATTATTGTTAATATGCCATATTATAAACATAAACTTTTATAACACATGTGTTGTTATAACTTTTATCGATGCAATGAAAGCTCAATCAACCAATAAATTTCACACAAAACAAGTACTGTTTACAATATAGTAAAAAAAAATTATCATATTATTTTTGTGAAGAAACAATGCAAATAGTAAAAACAAATTCAAAGCAGAGACTTTGTTAAGAGAACTAAAAAAAAAAGTCTTAAACATTAAATATAGTACATATTAATGGTTAAGAGCACAAAGGGTCCAATACGTCCACTAACCATTGTTTTGAGAAATCTAAATTTGAAAGTTTGAAAACATACAATAATTCATGATATTGATTTATTGTCATGATTTTTAACCAAATGCATTCCTCAATTAATTCTGTCTTGTTTTTTACTATTTTATTTTCATTTCTTTTACATACTATAATACAATATGCGTGCAATAACTCAAAACCGTAAAATGTTGGACATATTCCCTTTGTGCTCTATTTTTTACTGTGTACTAGGAAAGTTTTAAACTAAAAAACATTCAAACTAACAATATTAGACAAAAGGAATCAGCGGTTAATTTGTTAAATTGTTTAAATTTGATATAGAGTATTGAGAAAATTAATTGACATGATTCTAATGGATTAGTAACTAGAAAATATACCTTATTGATACAAAGGCATAACTAAAAGATCTTGGGAAGAGGTATTTCAAGCACAGCAAGGTTCAACTTCATAACATTACCATATAAATAACTAAGGGTGAAATTCAAGAAGCGAACTTGAAATTTGAATTCATACTTCAAGTCTGAAATTTGACTTGAAGTATGACTTTCAAGCTATACTTGAAAACCGGCCGTTTTTGAGTTAGACTTAAAAAGCTAACTTGAAAAAGCAAAAATTCATAAAATGTAGCAATAGCTGATATACAAGATGTTATTAATAAAATTATCAGTATATGTGTGTATACTTTATATATTTATATATAAACTGTATATATTTATATATAAACAGTGTTTTTAAATTTTTTAGATTTTTCAAACGTTGACGATTTCCAGGATTTATTGGAACAATAGATGAAGCTTATCCTATAACAAGTTCTGAGGGAGAAAATGCAGAGTTGTCCCAGGAAAAAAAGTTCCATAGAATTTTCTATAAACTTTTGAGACATATGGCCATAGAAACTCTATAGAATTTCTAGAATGACTAATAATTTCTATAGAAATTGCTATAAAACTTTTTTTTGCTATAAAAAAAAAGTAAAAAAAAAATTTTCAATAAGGAATTTTTATAGAAGTTAATAGAAACTCAATAGAAATTCTATAGAATTCTATAGAATTTCTATAGGCCATATGTTTCAAAAGTTTATATAAAATTCAATTGAACATTTTTTCTTGGGTGCAATATCCCTTTACAAATAAAACCAAAAAATTTTATAGACATTATTGTATCTTACTTTGTTTCACAACCTTTCTACAAAATGATCTTTGGATATATGATGAAGTTTAAAATTATACTGAGGAAAATGATTCCAATGCATCTACAAGAGGTTTTCTAGGAGAAATTAAAATAGTGACTCAATTCTTTTTATAAATATTTAACTTATCAAAGAATAAAAAAATAGATAATCAAAAAATATCAACAAAATCTTTAAGAGATACAGTAAATGTAGAACTCAATCTGAAAAATAAAATATTATCTTGTAAAATAAAAATAACATTCAAAAACATAAAAATGCTCTAATAAAATAATCCTTAAAATTGTGTTTGTTAAAATTGGTGTAACTATAGTTACAGTAATATGTAACACTGTCAATATATAATATGTAACACTGTCAATATTTAATATATAACACTGTCAATATTTAATATGTAACACTGTCAATATTTTATTTTATTTTTTTATTTTAATGTCATAATACTTTTGTTACTTTTTTGGTTTTTCTGGTACTTCAAGTTTTCTGATAATATCAGAAGACTTCGCTTCAAATAAGAACTTCAGTGACTCATTAGGTCATTTGTTATATAATAAAATTGATATTGGAAAATGCTATATGTAAAGAGCAAGAAAGAAAGTTAAGTTTGTTTTGCATAAATAGTTGCAGAGTTTATAACAAGGCCAAAAGAAGCAAGGCTAAGGCCACATCTTACAAGATCAAGGCCAAAAGTTACAAGGACAAGGCCGAGGCCAAGAGTTTTAAGGTCATGGTCTAAGCAAACATTTTTAAGACCAAAGACTTAAATTTTTGCCTTATGTTAAAGCCAATTATTAACAAAACTGTAGGTAACAATTGCTGTGACAATAAAACCACATGTTGTAAAAATAAACCAAGATTATACGCAGAATTCAACGAAGTCAATTTTTGATAGATATGAAAGCCGAGAACAAAAATACATAAAAATAAAGAATGAAAACTTTTAATTCCTTAATTTTATGTATTTTTTTTGAAGGCAAAGGACAAAATTTTCAAGGCTAGGACCAAGGCAAACAGTTTCAAGGCCAAGGCCCTAATTTTTGGCCTTAAGGCAAGGCCAAGGACTAACAACCAAGGACCAACAACCAAGGACTAACAACTCTGAATAGTTGTATCCTAAAAATACATTAACTTTTAAGTTTTTTGAAAACTATATAATTTAAATTTATAAAATTTTAAAATAGAATTAAATGATTTTGTGGCAGTATTTGCAAAATGTTGTAACTTGTTAGGATGTTAAAGTTTATTTAGGCCAGTTTCACCACTGTTCTTTTTCTCTCTTACTAAAATTCAAAAAAATAAATAGGCTTATTTAGCCGTAATTATTTGTTTATTTTATAAGCTTAATAAAAATCCAAAAATCTTTTCCAATTCATATATTGAACCAATGGCCACACTCGTTCTCTCACCTCAATGATAAAAGTTAGCTCAAACTGACTTGTATCATAGAAGTGATACAAGTCGATTTGACGTGACTCTTTTGCAGAAGCATCTTTATTTGACATAAGTATAAACATATAATTGTTTGGAGTTTGCCCTGTGTCTCGAGGTTAGCTATTTAAAGACCATGAAATGCTGGATCCGCCATGAAATGATCCGCCCCTGATCTATACAGATTTTGATCCTTTCATTCTACTGATGACTTGTTAACCGTTATAACAAAATTATTATGTCGTACATTAGATGAAATTTAATTCTTGTTAACCATTTTCTTTTTACAGATTTTGTTCTTTACCTCTTTATATATCATATTCGTCCTGATATTGAAAATTGTTGTCATTTTTAAATAATTTTCCGCTAACTCCCAACGTTTCCTTACAGCCTTGTTGGAGTTAAAACATTTTATAATAAAAATTTCAACAAGATAAATGAATAATAAATTTGACATATATGCTTTGCTGATAAGCGCATAGTATATATGACATTTGAATGTTAAGCAGCTGCTTCTTCGTAGTTAGAGTCTTGAATTAAATAGAAGGTAACACAAGCATGTTCATTTAAATCCAGTAGTTTTTAAATAACCTATTTTTAATGAAAATATAATACAAAATTAAAAATTGTTATTTTTGTAACACCTAATTTATATTTGTAAG